CGTAATATCGGATAACTATTAAAATTTCAATGCTTCTTCATTATTTTTATGTAAGGATTCATACAATCTTAATTCGAAACCATAAATTACGTTGCACGAGAATCTGCGGTCTGATAACGACGATACGTGCATTCTCGTTGGCAATTAAATGAGTTGATGCTTCTTTCTTCAAAGGAGACTTAAAGAACAAATTGAAGAAGGGAAAAATGTGCTTGAACAACAGCAAAGTGATCGCCAACTCGATTAATCATCGTGACTACAAGCTCGACAACGATTATATTAATAACGAGGACGATACCATTAGGTGAGTGCTCCTTTTCATTCTAGTCATCGTTAGCATTAAAAGTGTGCCATGAACTGATAATCAAAACGAGCATAATTGTTTCAGTAATAAATCATACGGTAGCCATAAGCATAGGGCGTTCAAGGACGAAAGTCACAAGGGCAGCATGGACTCGTTGGACGGCGAGGAGAAGAAAGACGCGAGCAAAGAGGATTTGGAGCAAGAAGAAGGTACCCACTGCTCGCGGTCGAAAGAAATTTTCGTTGTCTTCCTAATCGACAGACGAGATTTCATTTTTAAGATCTGGGAGAGGGCGGCGAGGAGCGGGAGAGCGACTTGGGCGACGGGATCATCCAGGCGGACGAGGATCCGATCGAGTCCGACTATCCGGCCGATTGCTGTCCGGAAAATTGTTACAAGAAGTTCCCGTTCTTGGCTGGCGACGACGACGCTCCGTTCTGGCAGGGTTGGGCGAACTTGAGACTGAAGACCTTCCAACTAATTGAGAACAAGTATTTTGAGACTGCCGTCATTATGATGATCCTTTTGAGTAGTATGGCTCTCGTAAGTACACTCCATGTGTTCATCATCCCGTTCTTTACTTATATACCAATACCTCACTTTGCGTCGTGGTTACGTTCCAAAAAAACACAACGCAAATTGAAACGACGCAAAGTGACTTAACACTAGAAAGACTGAAACTTAGTATATACCTATATTGCCCAAAGCAGTCAAAATGACTGCATTGTAAATGAATATTGTGTAAAGAC